TTCGCGGGAAGCAGGGGTAGGGGAGGAGCAGGGGGCGGAGCGTTCAGGGGAGGGGGCAGAGTTGGGGCGGGACCGGGGCCCCATGGAGTGTCCACCTTTTTAAAAATTAAAATATGGTAACCCTAACTAAAGCGACATGTAGACAAGCCCTGACACACAGGATAAAACTCCCACTGATTTCAGTGGGGGCAGAGGTAGGCCAACACTGGGTGTCTGAAAATTATTATTATTATTAGTAGTAGTAGTAGTGTTGTGGTAGCACCTGCAAGTCCCACTCCTGGACCAAGACCCTATTGTGCTAGGTGTGGTATAGAGGTAGAACAAAAAAGATAGTCCCTGCCCCACAGAGCTAATAATCTAGGTAAAATCACCCCCGCCACATTAAAACAAGAGTTTACTTAGCTACCCAAACAATTTTTTTAAAACATGTAATGGCAAGCGAGATAATACATTTCAAAAGGCTAATGGATCTTGAACAAAATAATGTATTGTGGAGATATATTAGTATAAGGTCACAACCAACTTTTCCCCCCCTGATTTTTGGCCTTAACCCCCTCTTCTAAATGTCTCAAGCGAAATCTCTGTAATTGATGTCTAGTATAAATGGTCTTTGACCAGATATTTGGGCCAGAACAAAGTGGTTTGACGTGCTGTTTCTGAGACATGTCGCTAACAAAAAAGATGTATTTTTCTCTTTTTCAAAACTATTTTCATGGATTTTTTATGTCACGTTATTTCTGAGGCAGCTGGGCCATGAAACCCTACTCTTGTCTTTATTCTAGAGTCTGTATAGAGATTTGGGGTGAAATCCTGACTCCACTGAAGTCAATGTTAAAACTCCCATTGAGTTGAGTGGGGCCAGGATTTCTCCTCTTGATCTTAATCCTTGGTATAGATGAGGGGGTGAGGCTGTCTGGGGACTGTATTAGCCTTCGTGCAAGTTAGAGTGAGCGCAAAGTTTAACTGGGAGGAGAATTTGGTCTAGTGTGAGTGTGAATAAACCAGACAGTAATGCAATTAATAGTTAAAAAATGCAATATTTAAATAACCACTTTGCTTCATTTATATTGAATATATGTGTAATAGTTTTGAGACTAAAGATATAGCCAGGGCCGGCTCTAGGATTTTTGCCGCCCAAAGCAAAAACAATTTTGGCCGCCCCACCCCGTTCTTTAATTACCCCACCCCCGGCCCCGCCTCAACTCCGCCCCTTCCCCAAATCCCCAGCCCTGCC